GTACTTATTCATATTTATAAAAACTATTTGTTCAGAAAGTCAGTGCTTCGTTAGATTTGGTGCACATGTATTTACATCGTGTGCTCGACCTTCAAATTCAATTTGATATTTTTCCTATGCCAAATTTTTTAATTTATATGCTAAAATTTGTGAAGATTCTGTGCTTTCTAGTTTCATATCTTGCTCAGAAATCATTCCTACCCCTGCAGTTATAACAGCAAATTTCTGTAAGTTTATATTTTATTTTAATGTTTAGTTTTTGATCTATCTGCAAATGTTTTGAATGTAAGGATTGTGGAAGGGGTCAAATCCTATACATCCCCAATGCTGGAAATTTTAGGAAAACATATACTATTGAAAATATCAAGGGTTTTAATCACTCATTAGAATGTGTTTCTATTTGTGCAATTCTTCCTTATGTTACTCAAAATCATTTTAAAGTTTATTTCACATAGATCTTACACATTTATTCCTGTTGTATTTAGTTCATATTATAAAAGCAATCTTCCCCTAAAAATATTATAAGCGATATTTATATATTGCAAAAAACTATTGATTATTATTTATTTTAGGATATTTAACATATTTTCTTACATTTAAATATGCTCTTCTTGAGTTTTCAATTACCTTTTGTTTTTTTTTGTTTGTTTTTTGTTTGTTTTTTTTTTACAAATAAATGGTAATTTTGGCTCCTCCTTCCCGGAGATTATACCTCTTCTTTGTCTTATCTGATATTGTCTTCCTTTTCATAAGAGCAAACATTAACAATGTATTGTCATGTGTTCTCCCGTTTAGAACTGTTGTGCATTCATTTATCTGTGATTTCTTTATTTTGTGGCTTCTGGATTTCATGCCTTACTCCAGTTGATCTTTCCAATCCCCCCACCACCAATGCAAAAGATACATTCCATATTTTCTTTTAATATTTATAGTTTTCATTTTACACTTAGATCTTTAATCCATCTGGAATTTATTTTTATATATTGCATGAGATAAAAATCTAATTTTATTATTTCCAGATGGATTACAGAATTTCCCAACATTATTTACAAAATTGGTCAGCTTTTCTTCACTGGTATGAAATGTCACTTTAATCATATCCTAATTAGGTTGGTTTTGTTTTTTAAAAACCATAAATGAAATGGATTACAGTAGAGAACAAGAAACATGAAAAACCTGCAAAAAACAGACATCAAAATAAAATTTGCGCACACAGTATTTAATGTATATAGTAAAATACAGAGATCAGTATAAACTTTAGAGAAAATATTATTATACTGTTTTATAGTAACAAAAGATTTGGAAGATATATGTCCATAATATGTTTGCCTGCAGCAGTTAATTATTTAAACATAGTTTAGAGTTATTCCCTCATACCAAAAGTTATTTGAAGCCTCTAAGCAGTGAACATCTTCCAGCTGCCTAGTTCAGTTTCCATCAGATGTTTCTGAAAGCATATCAGAATGTCTACAAAGTCAAAACCAAAGTAAGAAATGAGGAGGGAAATGCCAATCTTTGGTTCCTGGAATTCAAGGCTGGTTTTGTTTCACTTGCATCTCTGAAACTCTGCAGTAGATTTCAACATCTCTCTTTCTTAGAGAAGGATGAAGATGATATTCTTCCATTTAGCAGCAGAGTTGGTTAAGCGCCATCAGGATTAAACAGTAAAGATGGTAAGAATCAATATTTAGCTGTGAAATCCTACAGTGTTTGCAGCTACAACGCATGCCTTCCAGGAATTTGGGGATGTTTCAATCAGTTACCAATTAATATTACAGTTATGAATTTTATCCTTAGCCATATCAGTAAAAGATTATAAAATTATTTCATTTTTGTTGTCTCTTCAAATAAATATTGACATAATTATCAGACACAGGGAGAATATGCTAATATTTTCTGTGAAAACATTATTCAGTTAAGTGTGTGTTTTATTGTAGGCTGCTAAACTTTGTAATGTTTTAAAACATCCTTATATATGGGTTTGCCAATAAGTGGCAAAAAATGGGGCCTGGCATGGTAGCCTAGCAGCTGAAGTCCTCACCTTGAACGCACCAGGATCCCATATGGGCGCTGGTTCTAATCTCAGCAGCCCTGCTTCCCATCTAGCTCCCTGTTCCTGGCCTAGGAAAGCTGTCAAGGACAGGCCAAAGCCTTGGGACCCTGCACCCACGTGGGAGACTCAGAGGAGATTCTGGACTCCTGGCTTCAGATCACCTCAGCTCCGGCCGTTGCGGCCACTTGGGAAGTGAATCAACGGATAAAAGATCTTCCTCTCTCTATATATATTTATAAAGTACGTATATATATGTACATCTTTGCAATAAAAAATATATACATCTTTTAAAAATGGCAAAAAAAAAAAATGTCACACAAGGTGGTTATGAGATGCCTTTCCATACAATAGTTTTGTAACAGGTATGCTGTGTTTTCTTACAACTGTAATAATGTGTTATTTAAGAAATTAAGTAGCATCAACAGCACAGTACATGTCTTCATAAAAGCATCACTTCTCTCTGTTACTGGAGATCGGCATGTGGCATGTATGTAGGGAGATGGCAGAGAGCTATGAGCAGCATCGAATACGATGTTCAACAGCACCCTGTCACTAAGGAAAGGTAAGCAATCCCCGGATGTCAAACATATGGAAAGTAACTGATGTTCTAGCCGCTTGATAGCAAACGTTTGGATGTTTTAAAACAGTATAAAGGTTAGCAGCCTACAATAAAAACATATACTTAATTGAATACATAACTTTTCATCAGAGAGACAACCTGAACTTAGTGCTTTTTTTTTAATAAAATAAACAAATATGGATTTTTTTTCTGCTATTAAAAACAAGTAGCCCATGGAAGTAGAAGTGGCAGTTAGGTTAACAATTGATTCCCTTAGCAGATTTTCCTGGAAAACTGCAGAATGTGTGTCTATTTTTGCCTCCATGAATTGCCAAGACAGTCCTGAGTATGCTCTTTGGCTTCCTGGCACTCTAAATAAAGCTAGACTTTGGAAAGGCTTTTTATTTCTCAGGCCTTCAGCAGGAGTGCTAATTACAAAATACTTTATTTAAACTCTAGAAAACTCATTTGTGAAGTCAAGCCAAGTCTCAGATTTGAAAGCATTTAAAAATATCCTTGTGATAGTCATATTGCCCTATAAATGGTCTGTTTTTAGAGGCTCAGTGTTTGTTCTGCTGTAAGAAAAAAAAATTAAAACATGAAGCGTATGCCATGAACAAATCCACAATAACAAACAGCACATACATGTTGTGGAAGAAAATATTCAACATAAAGCAGTCAGCAAAAAAACAATCTGCCAAGGCATTTTTGTAAATTGCCATTATTATTTTGCTTCCAATTGCCAAACATTTTAAATAACATGCCTATAAAAGTCATCAGCTTCTTTACTTCATATAAATATAATCCACTGATCTTGGCTCACATAAAATTATTATGGAAGAGTATTAATGTATTCCATTATTGCATGTGTAATTTTACAATCATTATATTGTTCAACTTAGAACCACAAGGTAGGGAAGAAAATTTATTGCAAATCATTCGTTATTCTGCATAGAAAACAGAATTATCTGAAAACACTTCTTACCAAGTGTTTTAAATGGATATCATGCCACATAAAAATCCATAGATTAAATTGTCTGAATTGTTCATTAGATCACACCCAATTAAGGGCATACCTTACTTAAATGACCTGGGTGTACTAACAGAGGAAGAAGTATGAATGATTTCAATCCTAAAACAACAGTTACAGAATTCTGTCCTCCTATTGTTATATATATCCAGGAGAAGTTTCATACTGTATCACTTAAACATCATTTTAAAATTTTTTGAATCTCCTCCATCTGGAAAGGATGGACATGTATAATGGGGATATATGGCTGTCACTGTACTGGGAAATGAAGTTGAAATGCAGGGAGATGAAGTGGATTGCCTTGACTGCCACAGTGTGGTGGCACATGCCGCCCTCCATCACTCATTAAGGGCTGTTGGCTGTGAGAGGGGTGCTTGCAGGCCTCAGTAGCCATTTTCTTTGAGAGCAAAGACTGTCTCCATGGGTGACAGGTCAGAGGAGCTGCAGTTGCTTGTGGCTGCTGGCAGACACCAGAAACCATGGTAACACTGACAGTGTCCCAAACACTTTTATTCACAGCTTCAGAACTTCTAAGCATCGGTCCATAATATTCAACTTGGAAGTATAGAAAATGACAAAGTGGGCTGCAGGAAAACATGCAGGAACTCTGCAAACCACCTTCAGAAGTGGGAATTGTGTCTCTGCATGCTTTTTGCTAGTATTTCCTGTCTTGTTTCCAGTACATGTATAACCAAAATGGCTTTCTGTGACTGTACAGCACCCAAGCCAAAAGCAAGAAAATTCCTAAGGGAGCACATGTGCCATGGTAGAAAACCACATCAACCCAGAAAAAAAGGCTTTCCTGGGAAGGCCTTAGCAGTGATGAATGGGACTCTGTATGACATGGAAACTGGGCAGAAATTTTCGCTGCTTAGAGCCCCCAGTGAGGTAACTTTAAAGGCATTTTCCCCTTCGTTTGTTCTGCATTCACTGAATGTACATTTTGATGTCAGAGAGACATTGCAGAAAAGATCAGAATAGAGTCTGACAATGCAGCTAAAGTTCAAAGCTTCTGTATTTAAGGTAACAGCTGCGACAGTTGTCTGCACTAAATCTTTCTAGGGTATGTCACTGTAACTTTGTCCATAGCTTTCAAACAATCACGACAAGCATATCGTTTTAGTTGTCCAATAACTCTGACATCTGATACCATTACACACTAAGTTGTAGCAAAAGCTACTAATCAAAGTTCCTTTTAGTTAAAAAAAAAATTTCTCAGCTTTCATTTAACTTTTTTTAAAAGCTATTCCTTTAAGAAACATATGCCAAAGAAGGGAGGGGAAAATGAAGGGAAATCCTGTTTCTAAGAAGAACTAGAAAACTAGATGACCTAGCTACTGTGCTGTTCCACTCAATAACTAAGTTGTCGAATGGGACTCCACAGAGCTGGCAGGTAAGGTCTGCAATGGAACAGCCAGGCCCTCCTTCAACTCTCCCTGCCACGCCCCTGGTGAGAGCCTACTGTCGGAGGGCTGGCCTTGGCACCTGCGCTCTCCTTTGGAGCTTTCCGACTGATGTTTCAAGGAAGCACGTGCTCCCAAGGCCAGCACCACCAGGCGGTAGAGATGCAGCACTACCACGAGGAAATTTTTCGCAGCAAAGAACACCAGCATTTGGCTGGTCACATTGAAGTAAATCATTAGGATGAGGCGCAAGACAAGGAAGGGACCATCTTGGATGAAGACACTGATTCCAATATTCCACAGATCAGCACTATATTTGCAGAAGAACAGGCTGACGAATCCCCGGGTTGTCCCAGATGAAGAGCATGCTAAATGCTGCACTGAAAAATACAAGTCAGACCCGTTAACATATCTCTCTGGAACATAGAAAAGTGAGATAGAATGGCATGAGACTAGCAGTTAACACTGGGTCATCACTAGTAAATGACTGGAAATGATTCTGTAATTTAATTCTCTCCATGTAAAATATTTCAGATGATCTTCTAGTTCTCAGTAGAGGAAAGATACGGTTAAGCAAATAAGAAAGAATAAAGAAAGATGTCATGTGTGTTCTCGGGGAGTGCAGTGAAGAGAGGCAGCACTGTGTGTCTCAAGTCAGGATGTATGGTCCTTTGTTTTCCAACAGTGAGATGCTAGGATTCCTTAACCTTCCTGGCCTAAGATCCTTCCTTTCGAAACTGGTAGCAATGGTTTCTGTGAGGACAGAAGTGCCAGTTCAATGGTTCATTCTGCTTCCAGAAGAACAGTATTTGGGGCGCCTCTCTAATTTCTCATTTTATCTTCTGCTTGGCATAATGAACGACTTGCTTTGACTGTTGATTTTGGTAAATGAACCTAAAGTATGTGTAGCCCAGATCAGTCTAGAACTGATTGACTCAGAATCATATTTAAAGACTTGAAAAAGTTCATGGAAATATGAAAGTAAAAGATAAATTTATTTTAATGCAAAAAATTTAAACACAGGCATATTTTTCATAGTACATGTTTCCTCAAACTTTTTGAAGAACTCCTGGATGCTGAACAAATTTTTTAATGGTGAGGGAACAAGCCCAAATAAATGCCATAGTTATTTCTATTTTTTCTTCACTCTTTATTGCATTTGTTTTGCAGTGTACATTTAAGACTGGATATAATTACTGACTTTATCCAGTTGAACAAAAAGAGGTCCAATCAACAGGAGAAACTTTTTGTTTTAATTTCTAAAATGTAAATTTATTTCAGGATCAAGGGCAGAAAATAATCCTTTTATAATGAAGCCATCCATTTAGAGTTTTAAAACAAAGAATGCCTCCATCTACTTGAGTCTGCAAATATTATGAAGCTGCTTTGATAGGAGTGAACATAATGTACTGTTTGTTGGAAAATACAATAGCGATTTAGTCAGAGGGTAACATTTGGTCTTTGTTTTTCAAGCAGCTGCATAACATTATCACCCCTGAAAGTGTACAAAATTGCTTTCTTAAATAAAAATTTATTTAGCAAGGCTATAAACCACAAGGTATGGGAGGGTGTGAATGAGCAGATTAAATTACAAAAAAGAAACAACAAAAGATGAGTAATATTCTTTCCTAAGAAGTTAGGGTCCAGAAGGGATAACCTCAGGGTATCACCTTCTAAGGGTAATTTGTTTGATGGCACCCAGTATTCTCTCAGTAGATTCTAGCTGGCCAATAAATACTGTGTACCTTCTAAGGTCTATTATGAAAAAATGTGTGTATGATTAGCATGAAGTTGTTGCTTTCTGTTCTGGTGACAATTTTGTTTCAAAAACCACATGATAAATTGAGGATGTTCTTAGATCTCAGAGCTTATCAAAACATGCAGCAATAAATATCCTTCAAAGGATTAGTTATGATCCTTTTTAAAATTATTAAATTATTTTTATTTCTATTTCAAATAGTTACAGAGGGAGTGATATTTGTTGTGCTGGTTCACTTCACAAATGGCTGCAATAGCCAAGAGCTGGGCCAATCTGAAGACAGGGGCCAGGAACTTCTTTTAGGTCTCCCACATGAATGCAGGGATGCAGGCACTTGGGCCATCCTTCACTACTTTCCCATGCCTTAGCAGAAAGCTGGATCAGAAATGGAGCAGCCAGGACTCAACAGAGGTTTAACTTGCTGTACACAGCACAGGTGCTAGGATTAATTCTGATTCTAAAGTCATAAGTAGGGTGTCATAAAAAGTAATCCAGATCAAGGAACACGAAACTAGGGCATTTTATAATTTATTCAGAGATAAATGGCGTTCAGGAGAATTTTCAAATAAAAATTCCAAGGTTGCACTTAGTTACAGGATAATTCAAGGTCAATAATATCCAGTTTAGCTTTCTGCAGTAATAAAGCTGTTCTCTATCTCAGTCGTCCAATATGGCAGCCATATGTGATAGCTGAGCTCTTGGCATGTGGCTAGTGTGACTGAGTAATAGAGTTTTTATTTTATTTAGTTTTAATTAATTGAAATTTGCAGAGCCACATGAAGCTAGTGGGAATCATATTGGACAAGGTAGCTTGAGATCCCAATTAGTATGAAATGGGAAACAGTTAACTTTTTATACAGTCTTAGGGATTTATGACTCTATTAGATTGAGACCAAATGAAATTCCAGGGGTTAACATTGAGGAAAATTTTAATTCCACTGAAACGTTTTCTTCTTCTAAGGTTCTTCTGTGAGTTTAACATAGGAATGAAGATGATCCTTTACCAATATCAACAGCAGCTACTTGCACAGTATTTTAACCTCTGCATTTCTAGTCATGATATAAACCTTAAATCGCTAGCTACCATGATGATCATCTATTTCATGAGTCATACAGTTAAAAGTTTTTGTGAAATTTTACAAATCATAAGAAATCGAACTTATGTTTGAAGTGAATGTCAAGTGTGTGATAATCCACTCAATTATCTTCAGCTCATGATGTACCAGAATGGACCCACTCATGGCATTGCTAAATTTTAGTGTACTTTCTTTCTAAGCTGAGCTTTGGAACACTGGCAAAACAAAAATGACAAACCTTATAGTCATCTATTTAGTAATGAAAAGCCCTATAATCCAGAGTTGCAACTATCTCAAGACACCTACCTGCCAGGTCAAGTGGAAACTGCAGCATGCTCCATGTCCATAAGCTAAGGATGGCATAGACTAGTGAGGGCTTAGTCCTGTAATTCAGAAACATTGAATTAATAGTAGAACAGGTGATTCCATGCAGAAGAAACAAATCTGAATACATGTCTTTTATCTTTGAGTGCATCACATATTTTTGAGTATATGTCTAACAGACTTCATGTGAGTGGCTGCAAAATGGTGGTAGTTTGTAAGTCCATGAGAAAATCCATGCGTGATCATAATGGGATAATGAAAAAATGAACAATAAAAAAAATCCAAGGCTTCATACCCGATGTAAACACCAGTTAATGGCAAAGCTTTTTCATCTCACATTGCTCTTTGACAAAATATTGCAAACATTAAGTGAAACAAATCCTAGTGGGGGGCGGGGGGAGAGAAACCTAAGGTATTGACATGGAAAGTGTAGTAAGTTGAAGAAGTTTCAGAGAGGAAAGATTTATAATTATTCTCTAGCATTCCAACGCTCTAAATGAAAATGGCCAGATGATAGTCACAAATTTAAAACTCAGCATGCTAAAGTGAGTTGACCTTATGTATAAAATATAGAGAGATTAATTCAACAAATGAAGTTTGACATCAGACATTACCATAGCAGGCTAAGAATAGTTCTACTTAATTTGCTTGTGGATCCAAAGAACCTAGAACAATGTGTGACAAGCAGTTTGCACTCGGTACACATTTATGGATGAAACAGTTAAATGTACAAAAGAAAGGCATTTCGTTGAGCAAATAAATGTGTTAAGACTGCAGAATGACCCCCAAGAGTGACATTAGAAAGAACAGATGTAACAGAATTGTAAAATATATGAAAGAAGAATCAGTAATATACATTTTTGTCAAAAATAGAAAGTTATCCCTTTGACACCAGAGATGTTAACAAGAAATTTGCTTTCCATCTTTTATCAAGAGGGATTTTCAGATTGGAGAGGACTAAAAAAAGCATTGGGGAAGAATAATGGAAACTAAATGTTGTGAGGGGATTGTGAAGACATCTTTAAATAATCAAAGTGTTGAAGCCAAGAAACATTAAATCTCAAAACTGAGAGAATTTATAAATGCAATTTCCAAGCCATCATTATCTGTCTTGGCAGTTAATGGAGGATACAGGTGGATGACAGAAAACATTTCAGCTTTCAAAACAGAGCAGAAATATGTCCTATAGTACAAAGGGTGTATTAGTATTTATCCCTTGTTGGATGGCCTAAGTGATTCTTTAAAAGATTGCTGAGAGTCCTTATAGAAGAAGGTAGTCATTGCTAAGCATCAGCACAGGTTCTTGAAGAGTAATTGTACTTCAACTGAGCTCATTTCCTTTTTTAATGTAATAGATGTAGGATTTCCAGCAAGAAATAAAATAAGGACTGATAACAGACATTTCGAAGCAGGGCTTATGAAAAAAAAAAATTTTTTTTTAAATCCCCAAGGAAATTGAGACATGTCCCAGAAGTGAGTGTTGTCTGGTTCATCCATAACTGAAAACACCTCCCCAAAGGGAGCATGCTCATGGATTACTGCAGGCTCCCCTTTGATGGTGTTCCACTTCACATTTCCTAATGACCTGGGAGGTGATACTGAAGATAAGTCTCTGATGTGCAGATGTGACTTGGAGCTTTGGTAGAAAACCACTACCAGTGAAGACCCAATCAGGACTTGGAGACATGTAACAGGACAACCTATTGGATAGAATAGGATGTAAGAGATAGCTTTTTGCAGTCACAACCATGAAAAAAAAATTCAGGGAGTTTCCATTAGTATTATCTAAATCTGCATCCACAGTGTGACTGGAATCATGATTTTTCAAAATTCAGATGGCAATCATAGGTCACTTGATAAAATTCTAGCATTTTGAGTATAATGCCTTGGGAATACCCACTGTAACTTTTCTGTCTTTACAGTGTCTTTATATAGAAAACTTCAAATAAATGTCTGAATTTTAAAAATAATATTACCTGCAGTTTCTGGTCTCAGAGTTACATACTAGGTAGGTTTCTAAATATCTAATTATGTAAGTATATACCAACTCAACAAAGTAAAGTACATACAAATATTATTCCTGTTTTACCAATACGGAAACTTGCACATAGGAAAGTTTAGCAACTTTGTCCATCATAACATGATTATTAGTGTTGGGAGTAGAAATCAAAATTAGGAAGCTTGTTTTCATTTTCACCATTGCTACCATGGCACTATACTATTTTCATGAAAGAAATGGAAAGTTTTAGCATTGCTGGCTTCTAGAGATGCAGAACATAACTGAACAAGTATGTGTTTCAGGAAGAACATTTATAAAGTTATTTGTATTAAAAAGGGGGACTAGGAGGTAGCTGTTTGGTGCAATAATCAGATAAACCTTGAGAAGTCCACTTTCCACGTTGAAATTCTTAGGTTCAAGGCCAAGCTTCACTTCTGAATCCAGCTTCTTGCTAATTTTTACCCAGGGAAGGCAGTAGTTAATGGCTCAAGTATTCAGGTCCCTGTCACACACACTGGAAACTTGAATTTCTGGCTCCTGACTACCACCATGCCAACCAGGCTGATGAAAGCAAATGAGTGAAGCAGTCAATTGAATCTTCCTTTCCTTCCTTCCTTCCTTCCTTCCTTCCTTCCTTCCTTCCTTCCTTCCTTCCTTCCTTCCTTCCTTCCTCCCTCCCTCCCTCCCTCCTGTCTTTCCTTCCTTCATTCATTCCTTGTATCTCTCTGTCTCTCTCTCTCTTTTTGCCTTTCCAAAACTTCAAAGCTAAATAAATATTTTTAAAAGAGAGATAGAGAAACTGGCTGTAGAGGGATAAGACTCTAGTTGGGACACACACATCCCTTATCAGAATGCCTGATATGAGTCCAGGCTACAGTGCTTTTAATCTAGCTTTTTGTTAATGCGCTTGAGGGGAGGGTATGGCAGCAGGTAATGGCAAAAGTGCTTGAGTCCTGGATACACACACTAAGACCAGGTGGAATTCCTGGATTGCAGCTTCCACCTCTCTCAGCCCCAGATAAGATGGGCATATTGGGTAAATCAAGAGATACAGACAGGATCATTCTCTCTCTCTGTATTTTTTCTCCCTTTCTGTGTCACAGTGTCTTTTAAATTAAAAAAAAAAGTTTTTTATTTTTTTTAAAAAAGTAGGGAGAGACATTAGGATAGTAAAAGAACATATAGATGTGTCATATGTACAATATATCAAGAAACTGAAAACTAAATTGGATACTTGAAAAGATTTATTTTGTGTGTTTAAACAGCTGTAATGTTAAAAATAAATTAAACTTGAATTTTTGACTTCAAGTTGCTAAAAGGACTTTAGCTGTATCTCCAAGAATGCGAATTTCATCACAGTGAATGAAAACTTTTAATCATAAAATCAAAAAATGGAATAAGTTGTCACATGGATTGATATATTCTTTAGCAGTGGATTTTTTCAAACAAAATCTATTGAAAAAATATTTGAGGATATTTTAGAGAGGACATTTCACTGCATGCAAAATATATCTTCCATAAGATAGTAACTTTTGGTGTTTCTTCTAATCCCACACTTCAACAATCCGCCAACAATACAGGTGCAATTTGTATGCATGGCAGTAGAAAGCAGTGATTTAGGGATCAGGTGCACAGAATTCAAACACTGACTCCCATCTTCAGCAAAGAAATACGATGGGGCTTTAATTCCATTTTGATAATATTTTAACATCTATACGCTTTGATTTTCTCAGCTGCGTTATGAGAGAGAAATAATAGCCATTGGATGTCATATAATTGTATGAATTAAGTATTTATATATAGTAAATATATAATTCTCTTGGAATACCATGAAACTCAAAAAAAAAACTATGATTGATTACTTTGTTATTTGATTTATATTACATGTAATCTTGAAATTTTAATTTCTTTTGCCTGATATACTTGCTTTTAAAATAGTGGTAATGATTCTTTCTCACAGTGTCAAAGTGAAGATTAAACAAATTGTGAGACTAAAGCCCTTAGACGTCTTCAAGGCACAGGAAGTGACAAATATACATTACTCTGTAGTACTTTTTTGTATTAATATTATGTCACTTCACTTTTAAAAAATATTTATTTATTAACTTTATCATCATACAAAATAAGGTTAAATTTTAGTCTAACTCTAGTAATAACTATGCCTAATGCTAGCTGTGTAATAATGAAGTTATGCTTTTGCAATGCTTATATTTGCTATGAATAGATAAGCTATGGTAATAATGTGGGGGTGTTAGAAAACACATTGGTAAAATATGCTATAGTGAATTTATCAAAACTAACTTTGCAAAAGTAAGTCAAAATTTTTTAAGACTGCAAATATGAATTGTTATACCAGACAGTAAAAAATACTCAGAAATACTAAATGTTGGCATGTGAATAAATCACTGAGTTCAAATGACAAAACCTCAAGATTTGCAAAGGAATTTTGAGGTGTTTCTATCCATCACTGTCCTGTATGTATTATCTACATCTGTGGCAACTGAGTAGCACGTAGGCAAAGAATGGACTTGATTTATAAAGAGAAGAAAAAGATCTTGAGAGAATATAATTATTGATGTGAACATCACTTCTCTACTTAGAAGAATAGAAGAATAGCACCGGTTCATTGTGCTTCAATATGCCCAACCTAGTGGATGAAAATTAGAAATAAAAGGTCGTGTGTTGGAAATTTTATAGCTGTTTCCATCAAAGGTGGAAATATTCCTGTAGAGAAGAGAAAATCAATACATAGATTCATCTACCTGTCCAAAAAATGACAAACCGTTAGAGAAGAGAGAGCAAGACATCTAATCTAGAAATTTCCTCAAGAAATATGAAAAGTGATGAAGAAGAAGCAGAGTAAACAAATGAAAATGTATGCAGTAAATAAAGTGAAATATCAGTAATGCTATGGAGAAATGATCTATGTTCAGAAAAGGCTGCACGGAGTAATCGTCAAAGGCATAATTAGCCTGTGAACTCTTCCTGGCAATGATGATGAAACTCATAGTTGTGAAAATGCTGGACGGCAACTGTATTATTATGAAAAAGGTCAGCAAA